TCTTACTAGACTAGAAGCGGCCCATGAGGACAGGGCTCTTGTTAATCCTGGCGATTGCTGCATTCCCCATGCCTAGAATGGTCCCTGGCAAGGGGTAGGGTTTGATCGTTATGTATTGAATGAGTGACAACCTTGGTAATTGCCCAGGTGAACAGCAAGTAAGGAAGAAAAAGAAGAGAGAAAAAGCAAGTTGAAAGCTCTTGTAGGCCAGTAACAGCCAAGGATACAGTCTTTGGCTGATGGAGAGGCTATAGTCCACAGCTGCATGGGGAAGTGGGCCTGAAATCCTGGCTGAGGCCCTGATGTGAGGTCCCAGCATGGCATCTGCAGGGGTCAGTGCCCTGTATTCCCTGGCTCTGGGCTGCATGGCCGGCCCATGGTGGGAGCAGGGTGAGTGCGGTAAACAGGTACAGCCCGGGCCCTCCAGCCCCTCAACAGTACCCTCCACCCCACCCCCATACCCACTGCCCTAGAAGGGGGTTGGGGAGTCCTCCATGGTGCCTGAAAATCTGACCTTAAGGCTAGTGGGTGCCCTCTACAATAGCACAGGATGCTGCTGAGGACTTCGCCACCTACAGCCCCATCAAGCCACAGAAGTAGCTCTGTGTCCCCAGCAGAGGATGAGCCACAGCCTGCCCCGCGGTACTGTCCACACAGTTCTTTGGTTCCCTCTAGCGGCGCTTTGGTGCACACCAATGTCTCCAAGTAGGCGCTCAGGTAGTGGCTGGGTTCCCTGCCCCCTCCCGTTGCCCGGTCAGGCCCCTCTCTTCCTGCGTGTGACTGCTCAAACCACTCTGAACTCTAGTCCAGGCACAATCAGAACGGATTAGACAAAAAGAGGGAATAAGAGGCATGGCTCTTACAGTTTGCTTTGAGATTCAATGCTGGGGTCTTTTGACTTTATTCAGACTGCCCGTCCCCAGCGTGAAGCTGAACGTCATCACTCCTAAAATCACCCCCAACCCCTGCCACTCTGATCCGTGTCCAGTGTGCACAGACCTGGGGCTGTGTGGGGGAGATATTCATGACCAGGAGAATGCTGTGGCTTATTCCTGGATCAGTGCCTTTGTACTGGGGAGATAGGGTAGATGCATCTCTGCCAACCTTCTCTGAACCCTCAGCAGGCCCTTGGTTTCCTGCTGCCCTACTAGCTCTGCAGCTGAGGCTGCGCTGAAGCTTACTGAGATGGATGGGGGACTGACAGACCATATGTAAGAACTAGGATTTCAGGATTCAAAAGGTCAGAGCAGGATTTCAGGATGGGGGTGTGGGGGTGGGGTGGGGGCTTCCTAACAAGGTAAAAGGTAGTCAGGCTAGAATGTCAGCTGCAGAAGGGAGAAGACAGAGCTAGCAGCAGTTAGATGAAAATTACCTGGTGGGGCCTTGGTCAACTTAAGGAACATTTGCATCGCCAGTGGAAGGTAGTTACTTAGGAAACCAAGGAGATCTGGAGCAAGGGCACAGGCAGACTTGCTCGGCACCACCTGGAGTGTTGAGCTCAAGTCTAGGCCTACAGATCAATGGTAAACTCGAGCAGGTTAAAGGACCAGGTCGATGTGTGGGAGGAGGTGATGTGTACCTTCACTACAGCTTTCCCCTTCCTGAGGAAGTGTGTGCAGACTCCAGGAGAGAGCTTGGGATCATTCTGGGGAGGGGGCTCTAGAGGAAAGACCAATGGGTTGGAGGTACAGGAGGAGAAGGTTCTGGTTCATGAAAGAATTGTGCATCCATCTCACCAAGAGTGGAGGGACGGAGCGCTCTGTCACTGGAGGGTATATAAGCCAGACAACCACTGTCAGCCTCCTGTGACTAGAGTTTTCATTGCATTGAACAAGTGTGTATGATAGAATCAGTCCTCTACCCAGAGACTCTAAGAGTCCATCATAAATTATTGCCTTTCATTGTAGAACAACAGACACAATTATCATTGATGGTTTGCTATTCATGTACGACCATAATGGGCCTGTGCTACTGCATCCTGACGTCTGCTTGGTTATCAGATACTAGAGAAACCCAAGTTCTGCCACAAAGTCACTGTGGACTTTGGGACCAAGTCCTTTCTCAGTCTCCTCTGTTAAACAATGAAAGGACATCAGGAAGCTCCCATCATCCTAAGTAGAATCTAGTCCACCTCCTGGGTGGGTAGCAGTGAAGAGGAGACCTCCAGCCCCTGACACTCTGTGGTGCCTGTAGATCACCTTCCCCCGGGGTCTTTCGCTAGTACCCACTGCCACCATTGCAGAGACCTCAAGAAACCCTCCTCTCCCCTCTAGCATTCCAGCCTATGTGTGGACTCAATGACCCTGGAACCACAGAGGCTGAGCTAAGGCTTTCTGTAGCTTAGGACAACAAAAGGAAGTCAAGCCTGAGAGGGCATGCAACTGGATGATCTGGTTACAAAATGCCCTGAGCCCACAGGCCCACCACTCCCAGTTCCTCCTGCTTCCAAGTGGGAGCACCACCTTTCCACAACTCACAGGTGCCGGGCTATTGCCTGCCTCAAAGGCTAGACCTAGAGAGCAGGGCCAAAAGAAATAGGATTTCCATCCCCCACCTGACTAAGGCCTGACTTCCATATTGCTGGATCCCAGCAAAGTGCCCCTTCTTCCTACTGACTGACGCTGAAAATGCCTACCCTTTTCCCCTTAAGCATGAGGCTCTACCCTGGGCCTCACCAACACAACATCCTGAGCACAGTTCTTGGATGAGGTACCCTCAGTGGGATCTTCTCTAAAGAGAAACAGATTTGCAAAGAAATCTTCAACTTCACTTAGTAAATTTATTGGCAGTGTTTGGATGTAGCAATTCTGGAGCTATTTTGTGTCTATTTGTAGGATTGAGCAAATGAGGGACTATTTTGACGTCGTTGGAAACTAGGGATCTTGCTGTGGGAGAAGAAAGATGTAATTGAGGAGTAGGGGAAGGCAAGCAGGGACCCTGTGGTGTTGGAGTTTATATCTACAGATAGATGACAGAGAGATAGAGATAGAATGATGATAAATACATGGATGTTAGGATGGATGGATAGATGGATGGATGGATGGATGGATGGATGGATGGATGGATGGATGGTTGGAATAAAGGGCCTGAAGTAATAATGCTCCAGAAACAGTGAGCACATCTAGTGCCCAAATCTTCTATATACCATCTTCCACTAAAAAGAAAAATGGCTGATTCCAAGGCCGGGACAAGGAAAATGCAAGGAGAACCTAGAACATCTTGTGCCAAGAAGTAGGAAAGGGCTCAAAAAAATTATGGGGACACGTTGCAAAAACACAGAAAGCAGCATGAAGGGGTTTTCCACTAGCCAAATCTGAAAAAAACTGAGCATCAAAATGAATAATCATATTAATGGATTATAAGACACTGAACTAAAAAGGAACCCACAAGTGCACAGTGATATACATAAATACATGAGAGGACAGGGAAGATCTTATTTAAAGTAGAATACCAAGTATTTAAATGGAACAATAAAGTTAGAAAATCACTGGTTTGCAGCCACCAAAGTAATGTGACTCAGGTAGGAATCATCAATGGATGCCGAAACCACTGAGTTAATGTTTGTGGGGACCAAGATACTCATACAGTCTCCAAGTATCTCCCACAGATTATTTATTAATTACAAGGGGGAAATGGTACCTTTGAAGTGGAGAGATCTGGCAGACATCATCTGAACCAAACAATCACAGTTAACAGCATCAATAATGGGACAAAATGCCATCAAGCGTCCCTGAAGTGAAGTACCGAGGAGGCCAAAACATCACTTACGTAGGATTCCTGCCAAGAATGCATAACCTGAATCCAATCATGAGAACACATTCAGACAAACCTAAACTGAGGGACATTCTACAAAATCACTAACCTGGATCCTTCAGAAATATCAATGGCATGAAAAACCAAAGTAGGTGGAGGAACTGTCCAAGATTAAAGGAGACTCAAGGTGTGACAGGTAAATGTAACACATGGCCCCAGATCAGATCCTGCTTTGGAAAAACCACAATTGCTTTAAAGGACATTATTAGGCCAATTGGAGAAAATTGAAAATGGATAGTACAGTAGATAATATGCTGTATCAATGTTAAATTTCCTGAATTTGGTGTGTGTGGTTTTGTAAGAGAATCTCCTTGTTCTTGGAAAATGCATGCTATTTATAGATATTTAGGGGTAAATGGTCAGAATGTCTGCAACTTACTCTCAAATGATTCAGGAAAAATGTACAGAATCTATTATTTCATTCCCTGGGTGTCTTTTTCTCCTCTTGCCATCACCTGCCTGATTCTCTCACAGAGTTTCCCAGTTCTAATTCCCGTGCTTGGATAAGATCCTCTCTACCACCCTGGTTTGGGCAGAGCAAGCACTCTGTACTAGGAAACCTCATAGCTCTCTGACCAGCATCTGGATTGGCTGCCTAGGGTCAGGTGCACACTCCTTGTCCAATTAACTCTGGCCCCAGGTGGGTCATGTGGTATATAACATGGCTTTCACCACTGCTCCCTACCACACCACTGCTTCTTGGTGTGGTAGCCAAGAAGTTCTCCTTAAAAAGCTTGGCAGGCCCCATGGTTGGCCCAGCCAATAGACACTGTATCCCCGGCTACCCAAACTAGTCCCAGGACACCTAAAGGCCCGCTGACCTTACTTTGTGCCTCATTCTCACCCTCACTCTTTCAACAAACATTACAGGTACCTGCTCTGGGCCAGGTCTTATGCTAGGTTCTAGGGACACAAAAGCGACTCAGTCCCTTTTATAGCTCAGGAGCCCCGTCATAAAGAATGCAGATAACTTGAGCACAGGGCTGAATCATGACCAACAAACAGGAAGTAGTCAATGCTGATTGAGGCCTGAGCCGACGCAGGAACACAGAAGTGGGGTCCAAAAGGCCTCCTGGACAACGGCCCTGGCTGCGGCTCGTGGGATGGAAAAGGGCTGTCAGGTAGGGACCCAGCTGCTAGAAGGGTGCATGGTGCCATCCCCGGGTTTCTGCTTTCTGTTTGCACAGCCGGACCCAGCAGGACGGGATATCTCCATCCGCCCTCTCCTAGAGCACTGTGAGAACACCCACATGACCATCTGGCTTGGCATCGTCTATGCCTACAAGGGGCTTCTCATGGTAGGTGCAGAGCAGGAGGCTGAGTGGGGGAAACACTTCTCTGCCACAACTCTCTCTCCGAGGGGCCTCCGTCACCGTGAAAACAAACGGAGCCCCCACGACTAAGCACTTACTCTGTGCTTAGCACAGGCCTGGTGTCTGCCACATGTATCTCAATTCCCCGTTTCACCGATGAGGACGCTGAGGCTCAGTTTGCCCAGGGGCATTCAGCTAGAAAGTGACAGAGTGAAAAATGGGGTTACCAGAGAGGAACCCCAAAACCTGTGAGTGTGCCTCACAGTTGTCACCGTACCGCTCCTGGAACGGCAATCGGTTGACATCCGGCGCATAATCACATTCCGAATTTCACTGGATCCTCTAAATCCATGGGGGTTGTGGACTCATCCCCAGTTTGTAACTGAGAAAAGTAAGGCTCAGAGAGGTTAAGTGATTCACCAAAGGCCACCTGGTAACCTCCAATCCCAGAACCCAGCACTCTTTCCACTCTACTCATCTGTTAAAATCAAAGATCCCATACCAAGCTCACCTCACACAACTGAGGAATTTCAAAGTTACAAAGGACTTGAAAGGTCAGCCCCACCCTACCTTGTCCTGGATTGATCCTTTAATCTTCTCTCCATAGTCTGAAAACTGTGCCTCTACTTTAAATCCCTCCAGGGACAGGAAGCTGCTACTACACCCTCCTCAGATTTTTCCCGCAGCAAAGTTAAGCCACCATCTATCTGCCTTTGTGTGACCTCCACTTAGAGGTGGAAAAGGAAGCTCTCTCCCAAAGTCCCAAAAAGCTGCTCAAATGCTTCCCCACCTGCTGCTGCTTCCAACAACTGTTGGTGATTGATCCCGTGTCCTTCCAGGGACCACACCAAAAGAGCAGGTGTTAGGGGACCCTAGGCAAAGATTGTCCCCACCTCATACTAGTTAGTTGAGACCCTCTTCTGGTTTCCATAGAGGTCTGTTGAGGACTACTGGGCTGCCATTTGGGCCTCACGAGGTAATGACCCTGGAGGTGTCCACAGGAGGTGCCCAGAGTGGAAATGGGACCTTGAAGACTGTCCAGAGGTTGTGGTCCTGGAGAAGGACACACTCTGGAGACACGGTCACCAGGGCTGTCAGAGCAGGTGGCACAGACCTGAAGACAGAACCATCTCCGGTGGGCAAAGTCGCCAGAAGGCAGCCGTCAGGTCCATGTAAGGAAGGATTTTGTGTAACAGAGCAATGTCCACACATGTGACGGAGCCCCCTGGGAAGGGACAAGCGCCCTGTCACAGGAAGTGGGCAGCATCTCCAGCCCTTGTTGAATAAAGAAAGTGAAACTAGACTCTTTTCAGGATCCCTCCAGCCTCCATGTCCTTGATCCTGAGACTGTGAAATTAGATTATGTGAATCAGATTGGCTCTTTAAACTGGATTTATCTGTAATGTTTTGGCCATTCATTATCTTCCCCACCTACTTCCAAAAGTGGTTGGAGATGACTGTATCTCTTCCTGTGAAAATAATACCTTCAATCAGATCATGTCAATAAAACTGTATCTGACAGCACGAATGCCTTACTGTTCCCAGTGTGTGCAAGGGACTGTCCTCAGCCCTCCTGGCCCTTAGAGTTTATGACTAAAATCCCACCTCCCAGCCCCTGATGCTCTGGAACCACAGAATCTCAGGTCCAGAATGAGTGTGCACAGCCCCATAGGCCCCCTCTGCTGTCAGATGTTTCAGCAGCCCCCAACCCCACAGCCCACCCTGAACATCCCTTATAAGAAAACACAAAAATATTAGTGGCTAAAGAGATAACTAATTTCTCTCTCAGGTAAGCAATCTAGGAGAGGTGTGGGGGCTCCCAGTATCTGAGCTCCTTGCATCTTGTGGCTCCTCCATCTTCATCATGCCACTTCCGTATTGTGGTCTAAGATGGCTGCTCACGCTCCACCCATTCCATCCCACTCCACCTATTAGGAAGGAGGGAAAGGAACACCTTTCCCTTTAAAGACACTTCCCAGACCCTGTACACACTTGTACACACTACATGGCATTGTCCAGAACCTAGTCACATGCCACACCTAGCTCCAAGGACAGATAGGAAATGTAGTCTCTATTCTTGGTGGCTGTGTGTGTTGGGGGTTGGTGGGAGAGGAGCGGGGCGGTAACAGAAGTCCCAGACACAGGGGCTCTGCCTGGTTTAATAGAAAAAAAGACTGGACTGAATGAACTCCTGGAGACACAATCGACTTTTGCCACCATATTGCTCTGTGGCCTTGGGCAAGCCCCTTCCCCTCTCTGGGCCTCAGTGTTCTCTATAGAATGTGGGGAGGTGGTCGAGATCATGTCTGAAGTCGCTTCCCACTATGGCTTCCTGTGAGTCTGTATATGAACCAGGGGTGAGGGCAAAGGAAAACCAGACAGCTGTAACACCCCGTCTGCACCCCCAGAGGGCCATGAGTATAGGACAGATAGTGACATCCAAAGCCCCAGCCTCCCTCCCCCCTGCCCCCGCTTCCGGAGTTCAGCAGCTTCTCGGAGCAGCGAGCTTGTGCCGCCAGTTGGTAATGACCATCTCCTCTTTCTGTTCACCGTTTCAGTTGTTCGGTTGTTTCTTAGCTTGGGAGACCCGCAATGTCAGCATCCCCGCCCTCAACGACAGCAAGTACATCGGGATGAGCGTCTACAACGTGGGGATCATGTGCATCATCGGGGCGGCCGTCTCCTTCCTGACCCGGGACCAGCCCAACGTGCAGTTCTGCATTGTGGCCCTGGTCATCATTTTCTGCAGCACCATCACCCTCTGCCTGGTGTTCGTGCCAAAGGTATGGGCACGGGGCAGTGGCTGACGGGCAGCCCCTGGCCACCCTGGCCTCTGGCCTCTGACTCACTCACAGGGGATTGCTGAGTTTCCTCCATGTTCTAAGTTTTAGGCCTCCTTTTTCTTTTTCTTTTTTTGTGATGAACACAATTCACATCACAGAAAGTTTGGAAAATGCACAAAAGTGAGAAACAGATTTTTCAGAAATCTCATTGTCCTACCACCCAAAAATGGTCACTGTTAATGTTTGACTTTGGTTTCCTACTGCTAATATTTTTTATGTGTTCCTTCCAGTGTTTTTTTCCATTGTTAGGCAGTGACACTTCCTCAGACATAGCCGTGATTATAGTGCACGTATCGCTTTGTAGTTTGCCTTTTCACCTAAGTTTTTCTCCTTTGTACTTTCCCATGTTCATAACCAACATCGAGGGAAAGTTCCATATTTACTTGTCCACTTGATCTCTTATTGGTGAGCATTACAGTTGTTTCCACGTTTTTTAAATTATGATTAACTTTTGTATAATACATTTTCCTTGATTCCAAATACACCCTTAAGATAGAGTGGCAGGAGCAGTATTAGTGGAGCAAAAGGTATAACCATTTTTAACAGCCACTTATATTTCCCATTCATCTGAAGAGCTGACCTTCAGGACCACCCTGAGATGTATTTTTCAAACATTATCCTGCCCAGCAACAGGAGGGTGAACCAGAGGCCTTGACCTCTTAGGAGCCCCCTGCAGCAAGCTGTTCTGTATAAAGGGAAGCCTGACCTCGGCAGGTCTCAAGAGTCAAGGAAGAACAATAAACAGAGAGCTGGGAAGGAGTTATTGGCCCAAGTGGGGGAGTGTCTGCCTAGGAGAAGGGGGAGAGAAAAGATCACTCAGGGTCCTTTGTCCCCTACAGGCTGTCCATGGTACCTCCATCTCCTGGGTCCCCAAGCAGTGTCAGCTCTGCCCTAAATGCCTCTGGTGTATATTATACTCCTTCCTTCTCTAGTTGTCAACGCCTGCCCAGGCTCCAGGCCAATGCCACAACTCCTCTGCCTAAACTCACGTTCTCTCCATCCTGTAAAAGATGCCAGATGATTCTAAGCCCAGCTCTGATCATGTCACTCTGCTCTGTCAACCTCAGTAGGTCCTCATTGCCCTCCTGGACCCAGAGGCTCTGACACTGGGCTGCCTCTCAGGACGCTTGGGTCTCCTCCAGGCTCCCCAGAGACCCCTGTCCACCATCCAAACTGCCTTCTGCATAAGCGCCCTGAGCCGCAGGCCTCCCTGTGATGATGTATGCCATTTCTTCCCCCTGGGATTCCCTTATCCTCACCATCCCTCCAGACCCTCCACAGAGCTCAGCCCCTCACCTCTGGACCATGAGGTCCTGGTGGTCAGGGCCGTGGCTCACTCAGCCCCTGCTCTCCAGCACTGAACCCAGAGTCTGCCTCAAACCAGAGATGTTTCTCAACTAAATGAGTAAGATCAGGATCAAATGACAACCTTTTCCTTGAAATACCTTTGTCAGTGACAGAGCTAGTCATCAGTCTGCCCCCAATACTCATCAATGGTTCTAACAAGCAGAAAGCTTCACTTTCCTCCATCACATTGTCTTCACAGCTGTCACTTTCAGGTTTCTTTTCCACATGGTGCAAGGCCTAAGGCAGTGTGAGGCTTAGCTGGAGCCAGGCCTAAGGGGCCCCAGGTGGGCTCTGCAGGATGGTTGGGATACAAGTGGAATCAGTTTCAGGAGACCAGACTTCTACTGGCAGGGAAGGAAACCAAGACTCAGGTTGAGGAAGAGACCTGCCCCAGGTCACACACAAGCAAGTAGCAAAGATGGGCCTGAGTCCAGAGCCCTGGACTGTGTCATTTCGGGGGATCTCTGTTGGGAGGGGACTAGATGGGGAAGGAGAGGGAGGACTCGAGGGTCCTCTTTCAGCCCCACCTTTGTCCTTTCAGCTCATCACTCTGAGAACAAACCCAGATGCAGCAACTCAAAACAGACGATTCCAGTTCACTCAGAATCAGAAGAAAGAAGATTCTAAAACATCCACCTCAGTCACCAGCGTGAACCAAGCAAGCACATCCCGCCTAGAAGGCCTGCAGTCAGAAAACCATCGCCTGCGAATGAAGATCACAGAGGTACCTCCCAGCACTGCTGCCCAGGGCCCTGTCCCTACATTTGCATCCCTGTGCCCCCGTGCAGGGACTCTCAGAGCTCCCGCTCCCCACCACATCTGCTCTAGGACATCCCTGCTTCGTGGCTGTGCAGTCCCACCTGCTGTCATTATGGCAGCAAGAACCAACAGAACATGAACTAGACGGAGGCCGTTAGTCAGAATCTGGCAGTTTACGGCCCCCCTGGCCTAGGCTCTTGGGGTCCAGCAACACTTCAATTCAAGACACCCCCAGAAAGAAATGTGTTTTTAGAGATTTGTGAACTCCCAGATTATAGCAGTGAGTTGGAAAAATTCAGTTTTCCACCTCCTGTGTGTCTCCTTTACTACTCACACAGAACAAGTCACTTCTGACACTTCTGATCACCAAATGGGGGTGGGGGGAGAGTCGTTCCCACACCAGGCAGTTCTCTGTGACACCAGCTGGGTGTCCTACAATTTCACTTAATTCCAACACTATCTATCTAGAGATAGTGTCAGATCCGGGTTAAGGGCTCAGTCCCACAAGACTACCCCACCGCACTTCAGATGACAACAACAAGTAGTAGGTCCTCAGGTTACCCATAACTTCTGTCCAGCTCTGCTACAAATCGGACAATCCCCTCCTCAGGTTTGAATAATTTGCCAGAGCAGCTCACAGAATTCAGGGAAATACTTCCCTACATTTACCAATTTATTAAAGGGCATGATAAAGGGTACAGATGAACTGCAGATGAGGAAAGTCACAGGGCGAGGTCTGGGAGGGTCCCTCACACAGGAGCTTCTGTCCGCATGGAGCTGGGGTGCACACCTTCCCAGTGTGGCTGTGCTTGCCAACCTGGAAGCTCTCTGAACCCTGCCTGTACTTCCGGGATTTTTATGGAAGCTTCCTCACATAGGCATGATAGGTCATTCAGTCCATTTTCAGCCCTTCTCCCTTCTCAGGAGAATAGGGGGTGGAGCTAAAAATTCCACCCTTCTGATCCTGGCTTGTTCTTCCCAGTGACCAGCCCTCAGCCAGGAGCCCGCCCACGGTCGCCTCATAAAAACGAAAGACACTCCTATCACCCAGCAAATTATAAAGGTTTCAGGAAGCGGGTGACAGGAAGCGGGGGACAGAGGCCAGAATGTATTTTCTGTTATTTTACAAGGAGCTTCCTAACTGTGTGCCCTGCCCTTCAATTCTTCACACTCCCAACACAACCCAGTAATCACTTAACATCCATGTGATGTACCGCAATAGAGGAGGAAGAGAAATGTTTCAGGAGGGAGAGTTTGCTGCGGCAGACCTCACCTTTGTCCTGAAGGACCCTAACTGGTTCTTGAATACTTCAGAGAGGCCATAACCAGATTTCCTTGTTTGGCCCAAGCCAAACTCTGAATTCTGGATTTATATACCAGGGAGAGGAAACCAAATTACCTCCCCTCTTCACCCCTCCCTTTAGGTCAAGGGTTGTGACTGGGCCCACGGTGCTTGGGCTATGTGCTTGGGTTCTGTGTTTAAAAGATGAGTTTAATAGACAGGAAGGGAACAAAGGAGAGTGTATTGGTTAGGCTACTGCCTAAGTTGCTGTAACAAAGAGGACCCAAAATAAAGTGGTTCAAAGAAAACATACATTTATTTCCCTCTCACCTAATGGTCCTAAGGAGAGAGGTCTAGATTGGTGGGTAGCTCTGTTCTCCAAGGTCATTGCCAGTGAGACTCCTTCACTCTTCTTGTCTGCCACTCCCCAAGGCATTGGTTTTTCTCAGCGGTACAGTTAAAGCTGGATAGAAGACATGTCCCATTCTCTTTATTTTTATATTTTTTTTATTGGGGAATTAGGGGAGGGGAACAGTG